ACCAAATTCTCTGGTACAAACAAGACGAACAAGGAGCTCTGAAGCTTCTGGGATATCTGAATATAAATTCTGAGAATGTGGAGAAGGACGTGGAAGGAAAAATCAGCTTTGAAGGAGAGGGTCAAAAATATTCACGCCTCACCATTTCTGATCTTGTATTAAATGACAGTGGTGTGTATTTCTGTGCTGCCAGTCAGCACAGTGCTGCAGATTTCCCTCACGTCAATACAAAAACTCTCCTTTATCTGTCTGCAGAGAGACAACATGTTGAGTCTCTCCAACACCTGCAGCTTTGAAGACTTCAGTCAGTGTTATGACACCAGTGTGACAAAAATACTGACAACACATTCTGTGTGACACTGTTTGAAACTAAGATTCTTTAAGCATTCACAGTTATCATAATTAATATAGAAGAATAAAGAAAGAATACGAAGCTGATGGAAGTCACAGACCTCAAACTGACCTCTGTTTTAGGTTAATAAATAATAAAAAAAACACTGTTGCTTTTTTAAAAATGTTAAAATCAGACTTTTTATAATTTTGCTGCACATTTAGTGATGTCAGTGCAGTTAGATCATCTAACTCTTTGGTTAAAAAAACTGTTTCCAGCTTGTAACCCAACTAAATACTGTACATCACACGATTGGTTTCTTTATTGTCTTTGAGTAACTGATCAGAATCTAAGTTAAATCTGAAACAACTGTAGGGGACAGCAGCACCACTAAAATCACATTTTGACTTTCAATACCAACGACAACTTTCTGAAGGAACTAAAAGGTTCCTTCAGCCCATTGTTCTCTGTGTTTCCACCCCAGTCTAAAGTCCCATGAAGATTTGGTAAACTAATGTGATAATATATATTAAAAAAAGCAACATGATCGGACGAGGGCTGCTGCTGGTCACAGGGTCAGTGTACCAACCTAATTCATCTTAAAAACTCCATAAGACAATGACACCTTAGGCTCATCTCACTGCAACAACATTTACTGCTGCAAGTTGGACGTAATGAACTAAATGCAGAGGAGGAAAGTGACAATAAGAGCGTCTGTCTCCACAGTAAAACATCTTATACTACCATCTATATCTTGAACCATACTGAAGACTTTGATACAGCTGACAGGATGACATCACACAAAGCAGTGACCCTCCCACCTGCAGCTCTGCATATCAGCTATATGAGACTCTGCTAGTTTCTGTCTCACAGAACATGGATATAATCATCCTTCAACGAGGCCTCCTCACACTGTCAGTCTTTGTGCTCTGGACTTCAGGTAATTTATAATAACATCAAACTGTGGACTCTGATTCATAAACACACGTTAACATGAACTCATTTTCATGTTTTTGCTGTTGAATAATTGAATATATCATGGTAATGTCATATCAGGGGATTTAAGTAAATTCCAACAATAAAAGTTCAACATGGTATCTTTTATTGTTAAACACAGGTCTGACTGATGGAAGTGATGTCACCCAGACTGACACACTGTGGGAGAAACAGGGTGACAGTGCAACAATGTACTGCAACCAGACTAAGGGTGGTCTATATCTCCAGATGTACTGGTACAGACAGCTGCCAGGAGAAACTATGAAACTAATCGTGTTCACAAGAAGTGGCAATGAAAATCATGATTTTGGAGATTTCGATAAAGATAAATTTGCAGCCACCAAGCCCAACGCTGAGAGTGGGACATTCACAGTGAAGAATCTGGAGCCAGAAGATAAAGGATTGTATTTCTGTGCTGTGAGTCAACACAGTGATACAGACACATTCAACAGCTGAACAAAAACCCTCAAAGCACTGTTGGTGTAACTGTGACAATTATCTAATGTACTGTAGGGGGACCTCGAGGACCACAAACCATCCAAGTTACACTTTGATTCACCATGTGGGTTTTGATAAGGCAGCGAGCAGCATCAGAGAACGTCACACACTGCAGAGACCCTCCTACAACTCTTCATATCTCTGTAACTACACCTACAGTTATTATGATACATGGACCTTTACAACATGGACATTATCAAACTCCTCAGCTTGTTACTGTTTCTGCTCACGAACAAAGGTAAAGATCTAGAGCTGGACAATATGGCTGAAATCAACATCAACACAGTGCTAATAAAGTTAGCTGTGATGTAGATAACTGGCCCCTCCCTCTTCATTATAATGTAACAGTGATGTGCTGTCGTCTGCAGGTGCTGAGCTGACAGGACCTGAACAGAGAGCAGATAGTAGAGTCTCACATCGTCTTTAAAATGATCTTACTGCTCTTTATGTTTTGCTTCTTCCATCTGCCATGGATTAAGGGTGAGATAAATACAACTAACAAAGTCAGACCTTGCAGAACTCACGACTTTAACAACTCAAATGATTGTTTGTTTTTTCCACAGGTGCCTCTCACAGCAACAGTGTCTTCCAAACACCTCCTTTCATCATTAAGAGATTTGGAGAATCTGTTTCCAAAGAAATCAACTGTTCTCACAGCATACCAAGTTATGACCGAATTCTCTGGTACAAACAAGACGAACCAGGAGCTCTGAAGCTTCTCGGGTATCAAAATTTCCTAGCCACAAATCACGAGGATGACGTGAGAGGAAAAATCAGCTTTGAAGGAGATGGTCGAAAATATTCACTCTTCACTGTTTCTGATCTTGTATTAAATGACAGTGGTGTGTATTTCTGTGCTGCCAGTCAGCACAGTGCTGCAGATTTCCCTCACGTCAATACAAAAACTCTCCTTTATCTGTCTGCAGAGAGACAACATGTTGAGTCTCTCCAACACCTGCAGCTTTGAAGACTTCAGTCAGTGTTATGACACCAGTGTGACAAAAATACTGACAACACATTCTGTGTGACACTGTTTGAAACTAAGATTCTTTAAGCATTCACAGTTATCATAATTAATATAGAAGAATAAAGAAAGAATAAGAAGCTGATCAAAGTCACAGATCTCAAACTGACCTCTGTTTTAGGTTAATAAATAATAAAAAAAAAAACAACATTGATGCTTTTTAAAAATGTCAAAATTACACTTTTTATATTTTGCTGCACATTTAGTGATGTCAGTCCAGTTAGATCATCTAACTCTTTGATTAGAAGATGTTTCCAGCTTGTAACCCAACTAAATACTGTACATCACATGACTGGTTTCTTTATCATCTTTGTGTAACTGATCAGAATCTACGTTTAATCTGAGACAACTGTAGGGGACAGCAGCACCACTAAAGTCACATTTAAATTAAAAGGTTCCTTCAGCCCACTGTTCTCTGTGTTTCCACTCCAGTCTGAAGTCCTGTATAGATTTGGTAAACTAATGTGATAATATATATATATAAAAAAAAGCAACATGATGGGACGAGGGCTGCTGCTGGTCACAGAGGTGAACACTTCCAGCCTGCAGAAAATGACACCTTAGGCTCATCTCACTGCAGCAACATTTACTGCTGCAAGTTGGACGTAATGAACTAAATGCAGAGGAGGAAAGTGACAATAAGAGCGTCTGTCTCCACAGTAAAACATCTTATACTACCATCTATATCTTGAACCATACTGAAGACTATGATACAGCTGACAGGATGACATCACACAAAACAGTGACCCTCCCACCTGCAGCTCTGCATATCAGCTATATGAGACTCTGCTAGTTTCTGTCTCACAGAACATGGATATAATCATCCTTCAACGAGGCCTCCTCACAATGTCAGTCTTTGTGCTCTGGACTTCAGGTAATTTATAATAACATCAAACTGTGGACAATTATCTAATGTACTGTAGGGGGACCTCGAGGACCACAAACCATCCCAAGCAACACTTTGATTCACCATGTGGGTTTTGATAAGGCAGCGAGCGGGATCAGAGAACGTCACACACTGCAGAGACCCTCCTACAACTCTTCATATCTCTGTAACTACACCTACAGTTATTATGATACATGGACCTTTACAACATGGACATTATCAAACTCCTCAGCTTGTTACTGTTTCTGCTCACGAACAAAGGTAAAGATCTAGAGCTGGACAATATGGCTGAAATCAATATCATGATTGAAACAGTAATTTTCTGTAACACCATCAATAATAAATGGTTAATTGATAGTTAAGCTGTTAATGGTTATTTTACTGTTAAATTATGAAATGATGATTTATAATAATTACTAATTACAAGTAATTTATTGTACTTTAAGAGTTTATTGTTGCACACATAATAACATTTTATCAACTATTTGTTAATGGTTAATATTTGGTTTGTAAACCATCCATAAACATTTTTTGGGAGGCCATTATAAAGTTGCAATGTTTGTAGATGCACTACAGTTATTAATAGGTATTAGGTATTTAAAATACCATAAAATAAGTATTACCAAAAGATTTTAATCATTAACTATCCATTTACCATTTATTCATGATGGTTATTAGGTGTGACCAAATTTTCTCTCTGAAATTTAAGATTATTACGGCAGTTACATAAATACTTGATTTTTGTGAGTTACGTTCCATAACAGTATATGAAACACACTTTTTAATTTGCAAGTTGCATGGAATTATTATGTCATCATTATACTGTTCTGCTAAAAGTCTAGACAACAAATCTTCATCTTCGAGAGTCAAAAAGTTTACTCTGATACTTTTAACTGTCAATATACACAGGTCTGACTGATGGAAGTGGTGTCACCCAGACTGACATATTGTGGGAGAAACAGGGTGACAGTGCGACAATGCACTGCAACCAGACCAAGGGTACTGACTACATTCGGATGTACTGGTACAGACAGCTGCCAGGAGAAACTATGAAACAAATTGTCTTCACATCAACTGCCAGCGAAAATCATGATTTTGGAGAATTCAACAACGGGAAATTTGCAGCCACCAAGCCCAACGCTGAGAGTGGGACATTTACAGTGAAGAATCTGGAGCCAGAAGATAAAGGATTGTATTTCTGTGCAGTGAGCAAACACAGTGATACAGACACATTCAACAGCTGAACAAAAACCCTCAAAGCACTGCTGGCACATCTATTAGTGAGTCTATTAATCTGCTGTACTGTAGGGGGACCTCAAGTACAACCACAGAACATCACAGAGTACAGCGACACTCCCACCTGTAACTCTTCACATCTCTGTTGTTACGTCACACCTCCCATCACACAGACTGACAGTGACTCTGGTCTCTAAGTTCATGTTGCTCACAACACAATAATGATCACAGCTGGTCTGATCAAACTCTCTGCAGCCGCTCTGCTCTGGATTGTAGGTACTGAACACTATGATGATGAAGCTGCTACTTTGAATATATTTATCCTCCTCATTGTTTGTGGTCTTGTAACATGTCATGCTTTTTTTTTTTACCCCCACAGGTCAAAGCGATGGGAGTGATGTCACCCAGACCCCTCTGCTGTGGAAGGACGAGGGTCAGTCTGCCACAATGAAATGCAGTCACACTAAGGAGAGTTCATATCGGCAGATGTACTGGTACAGACAGCTGCCAGGGGAGGGAATGAAGCAAATCGTTTTTACAACTGCATACAGCAAGCATGAATATGAGAGTGGCTTCAGTGAGGACAAATTTCCAGCAACAAAGAACGATTCTCAGACTGGATCTCTGACAGTGGAGAAGCTGCTGCCTGAGGACAGTGGAGTGTATTTCTGTGCTGTGAGTCAACACAGTGATTCAGGTGACTTAGACAGCTGAACAAAAACCCAACTGTTGGCAATGAACAGATGATGGCTGTTTCTTAAATGAACTGCAGAGGGAACTATACACAAAGGGTTACACTAAACACTCTTTGGACAAAGATGAAGAAAATGTGACTCCTTACTCTTTAACCTTTAGTTTTACAATACTGCATGATGACTATTATCCTTCCTTTTTTCTCCCCATGCATGAATAACTCAAAAAAGTAATTTGAAGATAAAGAATCTTGAAATAACAGCAAAATACCAAAGAGAAAAAAAAATCACCTTTTTGTTTTAAGTTTCAAATGCATGACTTTGTTTTTTATCAAAGGTAATTTTTCATTCATTTTCATCCATTAACCACATTAAACTTGTCACATGTCAGTCCCTTTTATATTTCCCCCCTTTGGCTTGAATTCTTTTACTGTTTTTATGAACTTGTGTTTCCTACTTTATCAGACTTTTCCACAACAGTGTGAAGCCACAACAGCAGGAGTGTCTTCTGTGACAGACTCCAACGATTACAACTGCCAGAATACTGAAAATAAAACCACCATCTATAAACCACCATCAACTGTGTGTATGCTGCCAAAGACAGTGACGAGCACCTGCAACCAACCGCCCTCCAAACTGTTTTCATCACACTCTGTTCTATATCTATAAATGACCAGAAACTATTAATAAACAGAGTTGTTTTGAAACTGATCCCAGTATTGGAAATGCCTCAGATACGTCCTAAAATGCTGCGTCAGGTATAAGCGAGTGCACCCATCTGATACCATGTCATTTATTGATGATTTATTAACCGAATTATGATGACAGATAACCTCTCTTTCGCTCCTGCTCCATCTATTTGAAAACCTGTACAAATAAGCAGTTCAGAGGTAATGCTGATCATGACCTCATAATCTTGAGTGCACAACGGATGTATAGAGAGAAGCGGATACAGCATTGGACGACGAGGCCCCATTCATGAAACCAAAAATAAGCCAAAAAAATCAACACATAAGAAAAATATCGGTCTCTTTAGCTACTAAAGCCCCGTTTACACCAAACACTTTCAGTATGGTACCTTTGGAACCAACAGTAACCCTTCAGACATGGTACATAGACCCTAGTGTTTCCACTGCAAACTGTACCCTTAAATGTGGGCGGGGTTGATGTCACTCACTGCTCCGTCCAGCACTCACTGTATTTCCTGTTTACTAATGTATGTAAAGCTCTCCACAGTATGAACAGTGGTTACATGAGCCTCAAAACCAGACACAACTCAGCCCTGAGCAGAGTGACCGTCCTCTACTGACCAATCAGACTGCACAGCTCCACCTTTTAGTTCCAGATCTGTGTGCTAGGTACTCAAACATGGGGACGGTACGGAACGGTTCCATTGGTACCATCCACAACTTTTCACAGTGGAAACGGAAATAATGAACCGTGACTGCTTGGTGGAAACAGCGCTTAAATGCTCCACTATGTTCAACGGCTCTTCTTTAACTTTATCTGTCCTGTCTGCTGAGTGGTGTTGAGCTGGTAGAGTAAAATGGGTTTATCAGAGCTTTTCACTGAAAACAGCTGCTTGCTGAAAACAAGGCTGACGTGAGCAAAAAGACTGAACCACAACAGTAAAGTTACAGTGAGTTAGAGGAACCTAAAATCCACCGTAGGACTCAGAGTTCATTGCTATGGCCAACACTTTTTACGTCGACACAATGTCATCTTTTCTATGTTATTGTAAAAAATTAGTTTTTTATGCTAAATTATTAATCCTACATTGTTGAACTTGTGCAAACTGCTTTGACAAAGGTGCTCTTAATTATCATCGTGCCAATAATGCAAATTTGAACTGTGTGGTGATCGTCTTTTTCCAGAAAGTCTCTCTATTCCTTTCATATTGCGTAATGCTGAGAATGTAGCAGGCTGTGCTTTGATAAGTGTTTTATGGGAGGTTTTTTTTTTTTTTTTTTGGTCAACTGATATGAGCTCTGCTGACCTTAAAAAACTTGGAGCAGCAGATGGAGAGGTGACACGCAGAGTATCCACACTACAGGTAAGACCTTCACATCTAATCTTATAGTTCTGGCCAGTTAGGGTTTTTTGTTTTTCCGTCTCATTTCTTAAAGCTGATCTATGCTCTTCAGTCACTGCTGCCCTGAATGTTCCCACTTATCTATTGCTAATTTTTACTTTAATTATCTACAAGGACACTGCAACTACTAATGCCTTTACTCAAGATTAGAGGTGTCACAATTAAGTCCTCTTTATTTTATGTTTGATAAGTAAACTTAAAAAGGTATCAGTGCTAAATTTAAATAGTGAAAAATGATATGAGAAAACACCGCAGAGCGCCTGCTACAATCTGTATTTGTTTTACTCTCTCTAAAGTATCCTGTGAAGCCATGGCCTCCAGTCTTCCTCTCCTCCTGTTGGTCCTGTGCAGTCTGAATGTGGCTCAGTCACAGCTGAGGCTGTTTAACCTGCGAGCCAGCGGTCTTCCCTCTGACCTGTTTGGAACCACAGACGGCTACACCAAGGTGTTCTGTGGCTCAGCCGCTCTGGGTACAACCGCCGTCCGTAAAAACGATGCCAACCCCTGGTGGGAGGAGGAGTTTGTCGACCTCAAGGCCCAGGAAAACTACGTACTGAGGCTCGAGGTTTACGACAGTGATCTTGTCTACGATGACCTGCTGGGAGTCTGCCAGCGTCGTCTCAAGCTGGGAACCCATGAGCACGACTGCTTCCTGGAGAAAGGTGGCACCCTCCATTATGCCTACACCCTTGACTGAGACAGTCATCAGGCCTGAAAAGATTTATCTGACCTTAAATCTTTACATGCGACCTGCTGAGTGCTTAGGCTCTCTGTCCCAAATCTATGATCTGTCATTTAGGATTAGAGAAAAACTAGTCACTCAAACTTATTACCTGAATCAATAAACACTGTTCTAGTGAAATTGTCACAGTATATCATTGGCTATTTGACCCTGTTTCCAATATTGTCAAAAATAAATAAACTCTGCTGCAACAACCAAACTTTGTGCTGTCAGTCATTTAGCATTATATTGTAGTGAAATACATTCTGTAAATAATCAACCTACATATTTGATTTGACAAGTTTACCACCTTTGGAGTCTGACACAGAGCTTAGTTGAGATGAGAACAGGGTACATGTACAGCCGAGTTACATCAAAATTTATTTATTTTTTTAAATTTTTTTATATGCATTTTCCATTCCTTCAGTTTTGAGATTGTTAATTCATGCACACTAACACTGCTAATACAGGAAGTAGTGAGCCACCTATACAGCGAGGAAAAACATAAGGGTTGGGCTGAGTAGGTGAACTTCCATACAGAAGAGTTCAAGAGACTGTGCGTCCTGTAATTAACCTTCCCTTATAATATTGTAGTTACCATGTGCCGATACAGAAGAAAATGAGAATTTTAAAAACTCTGTCATCGACTAACACATTCTCACTCCCTACTCATCAATACTGATGCTTGATCAGTGGCCTTACAAAACAATCTATGACGCTCTAGGTACCCCTCAAGCGTCAGATTTGGACACTCAAGAGACGATGTGTCAATTTACACTCATCACATGCATTGTGTCTTTTACTGTACCTGGGACTGTTGATCAAAAACCTTGTTTTTAGGTGTACTTCCCAAGGTTTAGGCAACAAAAGCATGTGGTTAGGTTTAGAAAAAAAAGCATCATGGTGGACATATGGTGTTTTACTTTATGTTACAAGTCTTCTCTGTATGCTCATTACACTACAACTGCCATGCTTAAGGTAAGGTCACATTGTACTTGGTCACATTATCTCCCTTCTGGCTCTCCAGGTTTGTTCAGCTTCACTCTGATCAATTGCACAGTCAGCCATACAATAAGTGTTAAAGCTGATCCACTGGTGACCTGAGCTTTATAAGGTTGCACTATGTAAATACAAGAGGAGGAGAAGAAGACTGCACGATGATCTAAACAACAGATAGCAAACGTTCGGACATGTTAAAAGAGAAGAAGCACAGGTGTAAGTAATAACATTTCATTCAGATCTGCTGACAATCCAGTAAGCACAACACTATAGTCCAGGAACTGCCATGTAGCCACACTGTTAAAAGCTACACCTGCGTTTGACAGGTGCACAAACCTGTACAACCTGTGATATATATATATATAGGGACAGTTTGTCCGCTCCTGTTTTCTGTTCTATGAGTGAACAGAAAACTACTGGGCAACACAGCTGAGAACGCGAGACCCGATAACAACTGATAAGGAAAACGAGTTGGGACAGAGCAAAATTCACGCCCCAGCATTTCCCTGGAAGGACTACCATTCCTAAAGCAAGCAACATGGAAGGAATTAAAAACAGATAATAAATGGAATAAATTCACAATAAAAACCTGGTGGGTTATCAGAAAACAACCATTGAAATATGTGGCTTTTTAAAACCTTTTTCAAATCTATATCCAGAGCATTAAATATAGCAGCTATTCCAGAATAAAGGGGTCACTACTGTGGATCAGCTTTTTGGTGAGGAAACTTTGAAATTATGTGGTCATTTTTAGAAGTAACTGTTTGTCAAGGATGTTTTTCTTTTATTTCTTTAATCCCTCCCACAGTTTCTTTCTGATTACTTTCATGTTGACTATGGAGGGAGTGATACACAAGAATCTGAGAGCCCATTTATACAGATAGCAACAAAAATCACGACAGAAAGGAAACAGATGTGAATAGACGACCGTGTTGCTATAGTCAGAACAGCTATTGGAGAAGGTGACCAGTGGGTCAAGCCTAAAAGTCTCCTTGTGTCATATTATGTAATGCTGGGAGCGCAGCAGGCTGTGTAGTCAGTGTGTTGTGGGAGGGTGAGATAAAGCTGATGTGACGCCTGCTGGCCTTTAAAACGTATGGAACAGCACACATTATGCTGACAGACAAGGTATCAGACTGCAGGTAAGGCTTCACATCTGTTACTGTCATTTTGCTGGCTATACTATTTCTCTGCATGTTTGTCATGAGGCATCAACAGTCTTCATTCCCTCTGATTAAGCTATTATAAGTCTCAAAAGCTTGCATATGTGCTCAACGTGTTGCACTGTTTTGATGTTTTGTTACTGTATTGTAATTGCATGCTGCATGACAGGCACAGTCAAAGCTTTAACTGCACTGCAAAGCTTTGCAATTATCTGTTAGCCATTAACTCCCTGTTCACTTGTCTGAGTCTTTTTTGTTCTTTTTGTATCTGTGAGATGGAGAGAGCCGTAAGAGGGAGCGAAAGAACCAAAACAGTAAAGCGAGTCTCATGCCAGTGGCTTAAAAATTTATACTCGATGTTCATGATAGTCATTTTATACATCCCACGTGGAACAAGCCGCGATACATCGGTTATAATCAATCCATCATCCGCCCCTAAGATATGCTTTTCATACTGATGGTCCACTGTTTAATCGCTGTGTAAATCCATGTCCCCAGATTAAAATGCTTCTGTTCCTCCTCCACAGCCTCCAGTGAAGCCATGGCCTCCAATCGTCCCCTCCTCCTCCTGTTGGACCTGTGCAGTCTGACTGTGGCTGAAGCCCAGCTGAAGCTGTTTAACCTGCGGGCCAGCGATCTTCCCTCCGGTGTCCTGGGAACCACAGACGGTTATGTCAAGGTGTTCTGTGGAGCTGCCACTCTGGGGGAAACGTCTGTGCGCAACAACAACCAAAACCCCTGGTGGGAGGAGGAGTTCAACCACTTCAGGGCCCAGCAGAATGAAGTGCTGAGGCTCGAGGTTTACGACAGTGACTACCTCTTCGATGACCTGTTGGGAGTCTGCCAGAGACCGATCAAGACGGGAACCCACAAGCACGACTGCTTCCTGAAGAAAGGCGGGAACCTCCGTTACACCTACACCCTTGGTTAAATAAAGTCATTGATGCATGAGACCTCTGGACAAGCAACCTGTATTGATGACAGCATGACTGCATCTGTATGTGTGGTTTTAAGAAACCAGTGTGACGTCTCTCTGAGTCCTCACTCCATTACTCAGGTTTTTGATCAGACAAATCATGTTCACATTACCCAGAAAGGTCTTAACTACTTTATACAATCAACCCTGTGAAGATTCACTCCGGTCTCTTTATGATGCTGTATCACTGATGAGAACCCTGCTGCTCTGTTTGTCAAATAAAAAATGAATGAATAATGTTTAAAAATGTCTTTGAATATAACAATAATGCACAATTATTCTGTGGATGTTAACCCCATTTGCATTTAGTTTAAGCTCCTAAATAGCCTTGGGCACTATCTAATTTTTCATACCTTCCTCAAATTTCACCGGGGTCCTCTCTGTTGTTGTGGGCAAGACACAGGCCTCACTTAAAGCATCTATCGCAACCACTGTCTCATGCAGGCGTATATTACCAGGTAATTAAACACCAGTTAATCCTTCGGCATAGAGCCAAACATCAGTTATACCTGTTGCCATTATCATTCATTTCCCCCTGATTTTGGATCAGATTTCTGCTGGAACATGTTCTAATTGTGTAGTTTTTGCTTTTAAAGCTTCTATTTTGGCGATTTTTCACAGTCAAAGAGACTCAGTCCTCTAAACAAAGCCGCGGTGTAATACACCACACACTAATACTGTCATATACCATAGACCCCAGTGAAATTTCAGGGGAGTATGAAGGTATAAAAATTTGATACCGCCCAAGCCTAACATCATCAACAACACAAGGCCCAGGGGAGGAAGGCAAAGAGGGAGAGAAATAACCAAGAACAACAGGACCAGCTTTGGTCAAAGATGCTGAAGTCACAGCGGTTTCCCAAACCCAGGCAGCTGCAATGATGTCACATACTGCAGATGCTTACAGGGCAGATTTGAAAGACCAGAAGTGCTTACCAGTTAGAGCAGACTGGTCTATTTTTGGAGGGCGGCTCAAAGAGGTGCACGAAAACTAAGTGATTCAGACAGAGGGTGAATACAGGTATATTTAGGCAGACAGTATAAGATAACAACATTAAAGCATGTAAAAATGTTCTGGGAGAAACAACATACAGATATGACCCTGAGCATAAAATAGATCCTGTAAATGATTTGTATCACAAGCATGTGTTTAACATCACTGATTCATATCACATGTAAGGCCTAAGCTTCCATTACTTTGAAAGATGAGTTCAAGTCATCACATCACACATCCTCAAACGTGACCTCCTCAGCTTGTCACTGTTACTGATCCGAGCGTACAGTAGGGGGACCTGCAGTACCATTTATCATCTAACCATCTACACTTCAACTGACAGTGTAGGCATTTATACAGCAGCTTACAGAGAAAGTCACACACAGCAGGGACACACCTACCTGCTGCTCTTCATATCTCTGTAACTACACTAACAGACATAATGAGACTCGATGATTAAAAGCATGGACGTGATCAAACATGGTCTCCTCAGCTTGCTGGCATTTGTGCTCTGGATACAAGGTCAGGTACTGAGATATCAGCAAATATATTTAAGACATCAAATGTTCACTTATGGTAACTTTTACTGTAACACACAGGTCTAACTGATGGGAGTGGTGTCACCCAGACTGACATACTGTGGGAGAAACAGGGTGACAATGCAACAATGAGCTGCAGCCACTCGAAGGGTGCTGGTTACAACTGGATGTACTGGTACAGACAGCTGCCAGGAGAAACTATGAAGCTAATAGTGTTCACAAGACTTGGCAACGAAGATCATGATTTTGGAGAATTCAAAGGAGATAAATTTGCAGCCACCAAGCCCAACG